CTGATCCCATATTTTTCTAACTTATCCATTAATAACTCATGATTGATTGTGTCAAATGCTTTTTTTAGGTCAATAAATATTCCCATCGTGTATTTCCTCTCATCCATAGCACTTGTTATGTCCTCCATTAGGTCGGTAAGATACTCTGACATGTGGACTGGAGACGCCAGCGTTAGAACCGCTGACCCTAAAGTTGTTGAAACAGAGAAATGTCAACTTTAGCAACAATAAAATAACATCTATTACAGCAAAATCCATCACAAATGTGGATATCATACACATCGCATAGTCCTATATGTTATATAGTAGATGTGTTGCATCCAAAGCTTCCTGAAAGTTCAAATTAAATTCAATCAGCCTTTTTTTAACAGAAAGAGAAGGTCACTGTAAACACAAAGGCCGTACTGAGAGTTTTGGCTGTGTAATTTAATTTCCTGCCAAACTCTATAAGAAGAGTTGGTTAAATTTCCCACTGGCATTTGAAGCTGAGACAAAAGGCTATCGAACATAGATACAGTACATTAACATCAGAGGAAACAGGAAAAAGAAAGAGGAGTTAGAAAAAAACTGGTGAGTGTGAAACGGAGAGACAGAAGAGTATTATTCTCAAAGGTCTACCGTTTCTTGAAAACTGTGCATCATTGTGATGTATTTTTATGTATTGTGTGTTTTCACTCTGCTCTTGTGTGTGTGTGTTGCTGCCATATGCCTGGGAGCTGCCAAGCCTATTGATGGGCTCTGAGGAGAAGCCCTCACTACTCTGATAAGGCAGCAGCAGAAGACAAAGGCTCCTCTGAGACCTAATTTGCACACAAATAACTAGAAAAAGAAAATAAAAAAAGAAAACAAAAATCACATGTGAATTACGTCTCCAAGAGGCACAGCTCGCTGCTGGAGTAGTTTTCTATCCTGAAATACAGAGTGGGTCCTCCTCTGTATTCTTATGCTGATGACACGGCAGAAAAAGCTGGTGAAGCAAAAGCAAGAGCCACATGGATAAAAACGGAGCGGGAATTTTAAGTGTTGCTTTGCCAACATCAAGTTGCAAGTTATGATTTTCATTGAGGAAAAAGTGGTCATTAGTGTGCAGGGTGTTGCCACGTCACTGGGTGAATAAATAAAAAACTGATACTTGACTGCTTAAATCATTTGAGTTGTTTGGCCATGTCATAAGAAAACACACATGTGTGAAGAGTAAACATTAGAGGTCAGCCCATATGCTGTGTGTGTGTGTGTGTGTGTGTGTGTGTGTGTTGACTGTCCTTTCTGACCCCACTGGCTGCTCCTGTGCAGCACAGTGGCACTCTGTAGAGGAGAAAGCCTATCAATCTCAGTAGCAAAAGAGCTGCACAGAGAGACAAGTGGTGCTTCACAGTAATTTCACACCTATCAACTCTTATCACTGTGAAGGGGGTAGAGGGTTCAGTACAGTGGCAACCAGAGGGCACAGAAATGGGCTCAGACTTAGGACGAATCACTTTCCATCCAGTCCTCTCCTACTTATTCTCTCCCCTTATATCCAAGCCTCTTTAGGGTTTCTTTGGTAAACAGGCAGGCACACACACAAACATACTTTTTCTACAGCTGGAACACACAGAAGAGTTCAGACTTCAGTTTGAGTACACAGTGTGTCCTCTGCAGCTTCACTATATGGGAATCTCCTTCACTGCCTGTTGAGTCTACTGCTACAGCTTTCAGCGCGGGAGTTATAATGACAGGAGCACTGCAGTTCAGAGGAAAGCAAACAGACACACACTGAAACACAAGCACGTACATACAATAACACTATTAACTCTTCAAGGTAGAGTAAAGCTTACAAAGCACATGGCAAATAGCAAATGCTCCATCTATAAAATATGTATACCAATAACCTCACACTGGCTGCGGGTGCTCACACATGTGCCTTCCGGTCAACAAATGCTCATACTGCACCCACTTGAGGTACATATAAAGGAGTATTGAAACAATCACAGGAAGCAACTCACCCACTCTAACCAATCAGGGAGTAAACAGGAGTCAGTCCAACCTCTTATCATCATCCAATCTCGGGGCCAGCAGAGTCAACCTCGGGTCAAAGTCAATTTCAGTCTCTCTCTGTTGTTTTTATACCTCCCTCTCTCTCCCCTTCTATTCAGAAAACACAAGATGATGGGTGGCTGCGTTTGTTTGTTTTGTTTCTACCCCCATCTGTAACTTTCCACTGCTGGCTTTGGTTTTATAAGTCACTGCCTCATGGACCAGGGATTTTCTAAAATAAACATGCAGTTAAAAATTCATCCAAGTGTTAACATTTTTTTCAAAGATGGTAAAAATTTATTCCGTCACGGCCAACATTTAATTTTCTTTCCTCTTTTTGCACAACCTTCTTTAAAATGACGGCACAAGATACTGACAAATCATGTTTTTGTGAAGGAAGCCCAGAGCCTGTGAACGGTGGACGGGAGTAGCACAGCATGTGGAGTCATGACGCCTGGTAGAGCATGTGGGGACCAGTGGGAATTAGAGAGGAGATTATCAGGCTCCTGTAGCGGTGTGGGCACCACTACACCCAGTCTCCCTTTCTTTTTATCCCTCTGCCTCTTTCATGGTCACCCTCATTGAACAGCACTGATAGCAAATACTTCTATGTCCTATCAGTAAGAAGAACAGCCTCTGCACATCAGTGATGCTCAAAACAAAGCAAAGACAACAGCTGTCACTGTGTCCAAACAAGCTGGTGCAGATGTTTGCAAATTCAATGTCTCTGGGTTTGCAGGTATTTGGTTATAAATCAAGGTACTGGATAAATTTTACATGATCGCAGCACTATATGAAAAATTAGGGGAACACCAAAGTTACTACAATTCATCCTGAAGGGAACAAGAATGTATGTATAACATTGCATGATAACCTGACCAATAGTTGTTTAGATATGTCCATCAAAACCATGAGTATCAACCTCATGGTGCCGCAGCAGCGCTAGAGGAAAAAGTCAGGGTCATAGGTTATTGTTAGATGCACATTTCCTGGAACCGACAGTAAATGAGTAGATGTTCCTCGCCAGTGGCCACCTCCTGTGGGTTTTCCAGACCAATCCAAAATGCTTTCTTGCACCAACAGCCACAACATCTTGGTTCAAAGTCTAAGTCGCTTAGGAGTCTTTCTAGGAATTACACACAGCACACCCATGTACAACAAAAACATTTTAAAGCCCTTCCAACCATTTCCAAAACCTCTATCTGTTTGTAATGAAGCAGCAGTAGAATCAACAACGATAGGAACACAACTGATGAACGTCATATTTGTTCTAGTTTGAAAAGAGCTTTTCCTTTTCACACAAATGCATGATATCCTTTTATCACCTGCTGCTTTCAGCCAATCTTTATTTAGACTATACATGATGGTAAGATCCAACAGATGTCCCAAGTCTTCCACTAGTTCTCACTCCAGCTGGAACTTGTACATGCCAGTTCACAGTCCATGTGCGTGTGCATATGTGTGCATTTGTACGTGTGTGGGTGTGTGTATACACGTTGCAGACCTTGTGCTCTGTAAGAATTATTGTGAAAGCACATCAGCCTTGTGGCGGCTTCCATATCTGTAAAGATTACTTGCACAGGCAAAGAATGCACAGTTATGCAGCATGGACTGAAACTGTTATAATAAAAAGAGCTCACTCTAATTTCAAGTTATGTGAAATAAAATTAGATGCCGTATCTAAATGATAAGCAGCCTGTTATCATTTGTGCATCACTGACACACTGTTAGTACTGCCACAGCATTGAGGGACTGTGCACTGGAGGAAAACAATTATTATCTCCACATGGGGGGTGGTACAATCCGTAGAAATTTTAATTAAAAGACTGGCAGAGTTTCATCTCATTGTGACAACTCCATTTCCCCAATGATAAAACAGTCTCCTAGCATAACAAAGTCAGTTTGCACGGACTGAGTTCCACCGGCACTTTTACGTGGGCAGGCCCAGCTAATCGTTTTCCTGACCTTGGCCTTTTGATATCCAGCTGAAGTAGTGAAGTGAGACTGAAATTAAAGTAATTATTCAAATGTGGCATCACTAAGCTTTGTGCTGCGCTTCACTCTGAGCTTATGAATGAACCCCCTACACATATTTTTAGTTAGCTGCCTTGTTACAATGAGAATAAATGCACAGTGGTTGTATTTTATGTGCCTATTGGTTATGAGTGTTAAGTGTAGTTGTAGTACACCTGTGTAGTGTGCTTGTGAAGCTAGTGTCACCATTTTCAACATTGAGCACATTTCAGCAACAAATCTACAGATATCATAAATATTCTTTACACTTACCTTCATCCGGATCATTCCTGGCCGATGCCTCCAGAAGCGCCACGCTGGCGGCAAATGACACACGCCTTTTGGACTCTGTCTGGTAGAGGTGGTTGAAGATGCGCCCCTTCTTGTCTGCCTTTCGCTTCTTGTTCTGCATCTCCTTTTCATACATGGCCCATCTCTTCAGCTGCTGTGTACGGCGCTTCTGGGCTGCTCGCAGCCTCTCTAAACTGGGCACCTTGTCCAGCTGCTGCAGCTCCTGGATCAGCTCCAGGTGGCTGGCCATGATGCCAGTGTGCAGGACAGCAGTACTGGATAATGGTGGAGGGATGCAATTGGGAGGAAATGTATGATTCTAGCAAGGGCAGCACCTTTGGCCGTGGCCTCCTTCTGTTGTCATCAACATCATCTTTTCAGCAGCAGTACAGTACAGTCTGTGAGAGAAAACAAAGAGAGAAGTTCCTAAAAAAAAATCATTTTACTACCATTAACTTAAAAATATATATAACAGTAAATAAAATGATGAAATGCAGCATAAAATCTTTAGTAAATCTCTGGCCAGATGCACTGAGCAAACATAGCATGGTCTGATACACCACATCAGAGCGCACAGAGATGCATTTCAGTGACCTAGTCAGAGACTCAGGTTCAAGCTACTAAACTAAAAGGAAAGCAGTATTTTAACATCCTAACTGCTCCATTTAATGATCATAATCTTTCAACTATCAAGAGGATGTTTTAATGACTCAGGTAAGGGGACAAATGAGAACGCAGACCGATTTCTCTTTTTTTTTTTCACCTACATTAATGTGCACGGGTTGCAGTCTTAATTTTCCATTTGCTCTGTGAGCCGTTAGACTTCTTGCTACCATCCTCCATCAAGGTTAACCACTTCCTACAAGTAGACAGGCTTTATGAGAAACAGAAAAGCGGGGCTAAGGCAGTGAGCTGAAGCGGGGATTTTTCATGTCACTGGTACCTTGATGTAGCCTGGCTGGCTGTAATTACGACCAAAGGGCTATTTTTTTGTATGGAAACACCTTTAGCTTCTTTACCATTTAGAGGACTACTAAGAAACCAACAGACACCTCTATAAATAGCTGTTCAGAAAATGGAAAATGAACTTAACAGGTCTAAAGCAGAACCATACCCTTTAAAACAGACCTTTACAGATTTGCAGTACATACAGGCTAAATACAAACACACAGTATTTAGTGATCTGACTAAGTGAATGAGTTTAGACAGACCACTTCCTTTGAACAGCACTCTTAACAATCCACAGACATTTTTACACTGCAGCCAGAAAACCTCCAGCCCTTCCTAATCACTGAGCATGCACATACACACATACCATAACTAACTACTCCAAATACGAGTTTAGCTTTTAAAACATGTACTTACTTACTTATTTCGCACACGGTGGTAAAGGTTTCCCTCAAGTCCACAACCCTTCACTAGCAAAACAACGCAGTCTGGCAGCATCATCTGATGAACCTTTGCACAGTGCAAAGTGCTGCTGCATTTAGTCGACCTGCAACCAAGCTTATACTACATTTCCTTTGCAACTCTACAAAAAATACTGTACCTAACTGCTAAAGTGTGGACAGGAAACTAGCATTATATTCACTTCCTATGACATCACAGTCTGTGTTTGTGTGGACGAGAACAGATGTTGCACGTTCTGTTGCACGGCATATTCTCAACTGCCAGCCAAGCAAATAACTCAAAAAGGCATCCAGACTCCAGACTTAAAACTTTATATCATTAAAGGTTTCCAGCACAAAGATGTGAGCACATCCTCCACTAGTCACTACAACAAAAACAATTTCCCTGCTGACAAGCGGAGGTTGAGACTAAAAAAAGCTTGAGTGAAAGAGGCACATCCTGAGAGACGTCTTCAGAACAGCAAATTGGTTAACAGTAAGTGATTTGTAAAGAGTGGGTCAGGATCCAAAGGCCGATCACAAAAGGATTAGCAGCGGGGTCTCAAATTATTATGGAGGAATTTCAAACTAAAGCTGTGAGCAATTTTTTTTTCCCCTGCAAAGTCACAACACCTGCAGAAGTAGGGAGTGTTTAACAGTTGTAGGCACGGATTCATTTGTTGGATCTGGGGATGAGAAAAAGTTAAAAAGGCAGTGGTTTAGTACTAAGTTTTCTTTCACTTCTTAGCAGGATTTTAAATTCATTTGGCATCTATATATCTGTAAGAATGATTTAGACTGAATGAAAAATGCTTTTATTACACAGTATTTTTATCTTAAGGGTGAAAAGGCAAAGTCTCAATAGACTTAAAATGAAGAAAATGACAAAATGAGAGCATAATATCAAAATTTTAAAAAAGCAACATCACAGGTAAAAGACAACTTTTTAAAGAAGCACTAAAAGCCTCTGCCTGTAATCACCATCATACCAGAGATACTAACAAAAATTCTTGCATGTAAATATATTATGAAAACCCCATTAATATTCCTAAGGTCATAAATACTGAGATATTGTTTGTCCTGTCAGTATCACCAGTTCCTGACACGCGGCTCCTACCGATAGAGACACATCCATTCAAGTAATAACATGAAACAGACCCTTCGGCTCATCTTATTCCAGTGTCGGTGCCAAACAAAGTATTGCACCATGCTGTGTTAAAAAGAAGACTGCGTAGGTGATGCATTAAATTGAAGGAGCACGGTGAAACACAGCTCCTGTGCCTGTGCCCATCTAGTTTGTCTTTCATCTTAAATTTTAGAATTTTACACAAACTGCAGCTCCTACTTATTTTACTTCACAATTCACTATAAATAACATTGGCTTGTATAAAGTTGTCACTTCCTTGTTTTATCAGTGAAATCCAGGTATGTTCAGCTGGACGGCAGCCAAAAGGAATCAGCTGCCCTTCTCTGGTTTATAGCTGGCTTTAATGAAGGAACTGGGTAAATAATAAATGTTCCACAGAATCAAACACACAGTGGTGGCAACAACGACGACAACGACGACAACAACAACTAAAAACGGCTGCAAATATAAACCAATGACAAAACAAACCAAGTTTCTGATTGGGTGCCAGATGTCTGCTAAAATTAAGGACCCCTCACACCAAAATCTGGTTGCCAGTTTAACGAGATTTACGCTAATACAATCTGATGTGAAACGATATATAAGAAAAACTGACATTGTTGATTGTCTCTACCTTGTCCCTTATTCCTGCAAAGCAGGATGTTAGGTTGCATTACCAGCTGCATCATTACAGATTAGTAAATACTACACAGCACAACCGAGGGCTGTAAAGGTATATGTACGTATGTGTGCCAAACCGTTTCAGTTCAAACATGTACCGATTGCAATCTTTAATAGTAGTAGTAGTAGTAGGGTTGTTTTGCATGCAGAGCATTGTTTACAAAGGACTTAATAAATTACAAGCAATTTTATGACTTGTATGTTTTTTTTTCCTTACCGTACTGAATGAACTGAACTGTGACTTCAAAACTGAGGTAAACTACATAAGATTCAACAAAATACAAAAATCATCACATTGAAGTTTTAACCAATACCACAATAGCAGCCATAACTTCAACACACCCTGGAGAAGACTGAAGAAAAGGTCAATAAGCAAATGGAGCCAGTGCACCGCTACACCCCCAGCTCGCTAATATTTAGGACACATTTTACATTAAAAGCCTTTTTTAACAGCATGATGAATTTTACAGGGTAAGGTTTCTTCTGATGAATGGATAACGTGCACCTCTCTCCCTCGCTCGCCCTCTGAGAGGCGAGTGCAACAGGCAAACTGAATTAGCTGCAGGCAAGATGTGTGACAAACAAGGAACATCCAGTGTTTTCTTTAGCTGTCTTTGATGGTCAACGACATTAGTGGCAGGAATATGAAACCCAGGAGCTACTGTTGATCAAATCAAGGGAATCAGAGCAAAGGTACTGTAATCCTATTATTCACACACACAAGAAAAGCCAGAGATAAATAAGGCACCAAGTGCAAAAACAGGAAAAAGAAAACACATACAAACAGCATCTGCAATAATCAGCTACTGATAACTAAAATCGTTTAATCACCCTGATTCACAACTCGTTCTGGATTCACATAAAAGTTCACACATATATTGACAGATCATTTCCACTGGGACTTTTGGGGTCATGTACTTGTCACCTACTAAAATCCTTCTTCATATTTGTTCTGTTTTACATCATTGTTAAAGATTTTACACATTATCTGATAAATCAAGTGAAAACGGGACAGGACACGTCTCAGACCCCCGAGATGTGTCTCGGACCCCTTGGTTAACAGTTTGGACCCCTTGAAAATCTTAAAATGAGAGTTTAGGGGTTCTCGGAAATGTTCCTAGGGTAGTTAGATCCAACTTACAGATGCTTTTGTCAGGATCAAACCATCATACAATACAAAAATAGAAACAACATATATCCCTGTGGTAGTAGCAAGGGAATGTCTTTGTTAAACTCGATTGTCTGAGGAAAATGGAACTGAGCGACAGCAGTGAGCAGTGAGGCTGGACTGTCAGTAATGCCTGTAACATCACTGAATGGGGCCATTGTTATTTACTATACAGTGCCTTGCGAAAGTATTCGGCCCCCTTGAACTTTGCGACCTTTTGCCACATTTCAGGCTTCAAACATAAAGATATAAAACTGTAATTTTTTGTGAAGAATCAACAACAAGTGGGACACAATCATGAAGTGGAACAAAATTTATTGGATATTTCAAACTTTTTTAACAAATAAAAAACTGAAAAATTGGCCGTGCAAAATTATTCAGCCCCCTTAAGTTAATACTTTGTAGCGCCACCTTTTGCTCCGATTACAGCTGTAAGTCGCTTGGGGTATGTCTCTATCAGTTTTGCACATCAAGAGACTTAAATTTTGCCCATTCCTCCTTGCAAAACAGCTCAAGCTCAGTGAGGTTGGATGGAGAGCATTTGTGAACAGCAGTTTTCAGTTCTGTCCACAGATTCTCGATTGGATTCAGGTCTAGACTTTGACTTGGCCATTCTAACACCTGGATATGTTTATTTGTGAACCATTCCAATGTAGATTTTGCTTTATGTTTTGGATCATTGTCTTGTTGGAAGACAAATCTCCATCCCAGTCTCAGGTCTTTTGCAGACTCCATCAGGTTGCCTTCCAGAATGGTCCTGTATTTGGCTCCATCCATCTTCCCATCAATTTTAACCACCTTCCCTGTCCCTGCTGAAGAAAAGCAGGCCCAAACCATGATGCTGCCACCACCATGTTTGACAGTGGGGATGGTGTGTTCAGGGCGATGAGCTGTGTTGCTTTTACGCCAAACATAACGTTTTGCATTGTTGCCAAAAAGTTCGATTTTGGTTTCATCTGACCAGAGCACCTTCTTCCACATGTTTGGTGTGTCTCCCAGGTGGCTTGTGGCAAACTTTAAACGACACTTTTTATG